AAAACCCAAGTCATCCAAAACATACCTTGACTTTGCAAAGCTCTTAGAAAGTCAATACAGATTCAAATCACCCAAATCTAAAGCTCATAGAAATCTTATCTATTCTTCTATCAAACCCTATTCTTTGATCTGTCAAAGAATCCTAGAGTCATCGTCGAGACTTGGTTTTGTGCCTCAAGGTCTGATTTTGACCCTGGTTCATAACTAGCCCTCTCCAGGTATCAATATCTAGTTTTTCTAAATAAATTTTACTAGAATTTACTCTTAACTTCCTTCTAAAGATGCTTATATCATTTATTTTTCTAATCTACTTTGTTTTGTCTTATTTGTGGTCCTACAAAGTAAGTAGAAGTCACTTTTCTAAAAAGGCAGCATTACTACTAAAAGTTTTACTACCTCCCTATCTTTTATCTATATTTTTCTACTTTATCTTTTAAACTTGGCTCTTCTATAATAAGATCCATATTATCATCTTTCATCATATAGTCATGTTACAATACGAGAACGGATTGAATCTATATTTAAGATTTGAAAAACTATTCTTAAGATATTAAAAGTAGATATTAAATTATCTTTAGTCTTCCATCTTAAGAATGATAAAAATATAAAATAGATGAATTAAGTTTTAAAGTAGAATTTAAGATGTACCATCAATTACTATTAAGATGATTGAAAAATTCTTTTGCCATTGGTAAATTTTGCCTATAATAATATGATATATTCTTCTATTGAATAAACATTTTTTAATACTAACTAAGGTTATCATCCATAATTTGATGCTTTTGACTTCGCAAAAGTTGATAATCTAGTAGCAAAAGATCTAAAAATTTATTTATAAGAATAACATGCAACAATTAATAGAAGCTTAAGAATAACAAAGATCAATACAAATATTTATTATAAATAATACCATCAATTTTACATTGCCAACAAGATATGGTTACTTTATTATCATATTTAGTCTTTTTTTTTTTTTTTTTTTTGAAAAATTGAATTACCACAAATTTCAACCATTTCTTATTTTTGAATAGATCAATCTAATTTCATATTAATTATACTTACCAAAGTCTATAAAGATCTACCTTATATTTTATGTGTATCTTCTTAAACCATACAAGTGAGTAGTTATAATAGAAAGAAGACAAATGTCACTTTCTTCTATAAAAGTGAACAATAATCAAGAATTTGAAATAAATAAATAAATAAATAACTCTAAAAGACATCAAATAAGTTGGAATATCTAATATATTAGTGTGGATATGATATAAGTGAATGCACATGGGAGTCATTTTAGAATCTTACAAATGCACTAAAGAAAGTTGATATTTTTCATTGAAAACGTCTATTAAAACCAAGATAAAGAATTAAATAATTCTTTATTATGAAAAAAATTATATATATATTTAATGAAGGTTACATTCTATCTTCTATCTTTTTTTATGCTTTTTTATATTTTTATTATTTAAAAAAAATAAAAGATCAATAACTAATAGATTTAACTTAAGAGCTATCATTTATCAAATTACTAAATGAGGCACAAAAATTGCCTTAGCCTTAAAGACAGCATAACAAAAATGAAGACTCTCAAGAATAACATGTCATTTTTCAAATAGATAGAAAAATACAATGTGTTTGATATCAAAAACCCTTAAAGTGAGTCTCTATATTTGATAATATTATTAAAGATAAAAACTATTCCTAATAGTATTTCAAATATTTTTTTGAAGAAAATTATAAAGGCCTCAACCATAATTAAATAATAGGATTGTCTTTCATCTGTTGTATGAGGCACTATTGATAGTTAAAAATATATATCAACTATCTTTGACACAAATAAAGATTAGAATATGTACCTAATATATTTTACTGTATTTTTGACTTTATCAATATGTAATCACCATTTTTTGTGGTATCTAGTGGAAAAGCTTCTTAGAAGCTTGATAGATATGAATTTGACTTCCAAAGTACTAGTAGGTGATTAGTGATTAATAACTTGGCCAAAAAGTTAGCTATATATTGTACATGTTGACTACTTATTGTACAAATTGGCTATGTAGTGCATATATTAGAAACTTATCTTGTAAGTTAGATAAATATCTTGAATGATGGACATTTTAATTAAATGGACTCTTGATAAATTTTCTTATGATAATCAAACTTCAAAAGAGCATTACTCTTGTTTGGTGATATAATATTATATCACCAAGAAAAAGTGATGTTTTCTTGAAGTTGATCTCTTGCATTTAACATCAACATTGTTGTTTACAAAGTATCCACATCTTAGCAATGAAAGAAATAGATTACAACTTGGCTGCAAATTCTTTCTATCATCTTGTAAAGAAGTAGATTTATTTCTTTTGTTAAGCATAAGTTTAGCAATTATATTATGTTGGAAATTAAATAACCATATTGATGTTTTCAATGAATGTTGTTCTTGAAGTGTTTTGCTCCAACTTCCTTATTCATATAGCAACTTCTTCTAAAATTGCTCTAATCTCTGGAAGCTCATCTTGGTACAAATCAAATATGAGCTCACATGTGTCTAAAAGTAAATTCACCATCTCTAAATTCTAAAATTTTTTTAAAAAAAATTATCAATAATTTAGCACATGCAAATACTATGATATCTGTTTGAAAAGATCAATGACACAACTTTGAAAACTTCACCATCAGCTAATATTGAAAGCATAAGAAGCACAACCTCAAGTGCCCAAAACAACAATACAGGGCCTTGTTGTTGCAAAGTGTAATCATGCAGAGCCTTTGCTTCTTGAGTTTGCAAGCATTGAATCTATGTCAGTCTATATTCTATATTTATCCCCCCAAAAAAGCCGTTTTCTTTTGTATATCAAGATACTTCAGTTTACAAAATTTTCTTTTAAGATGTACTACCTCTTTAAGATCCAACACCAACTCTCTGCAAAGCAAGACCTGTGCCACAGGGTCCTGCGTTCTAACTCCCCTTTGTAGTTGCACTTCTATACCAGACTTTACAATTTCATCACAAAGCCTATTTTAAAAATTTAAAAATTGAGAGGCCTATTTTTGATAAATCACCATTTTTCAAGCCTATTTTTGAGAATTTTCTTATTATTATTTGAAAGTGTTATTTTATGAAGGTTTGCAAGGATAAATGAATAGAAAGTTGAGATAATATGAAGCCATAGAATACATTTGGATAAGAATAAATCAAATTTGATATTTAAATAATAAAAATATAAGAAATTTTACTATTTAAAATCAAACCTAGTTTTTTTTCGTTTTTTTTTTCGTTTTTTTTTTTTTTTTTTTTTGCAAAGATGTATGTGTAGGAGTGCATGGCAACGAGGGTGTCTTCCTAATGTTTATCTTTTAGCATTGGACAACTTTAAAATGGTTGTATACACTAATAAAAATAGAAGACAACAATATACAATGAAAAAACATTGTCTTAAAAACAATAGTTCACATCACTAATAAAATAAAGTAGTAGAGGAATGTTTTGTACAACCTTGTAAAAATCTGTCTGTTGTTAGTAGATCTTGAAAACAACTGTACCCTTAAAAACCTACATTCACACAAGTAACTTAACTATCACAATTTCACACAATCAGTACAAAATGATAATACGTTCAGATTAAATGTAATAAAAGGTTTTTTAAAAAAAGAAAATTCCACCCTAAAATAAATGTAACTGTTATTTAGTTATATAAATGCAACTGTAATTTTTGTTATTAAATGTTGTGACATTTAATTACTGAAAACTTCAAATTTCTTTTCATTGTTGACATAAAATAAACTGATTAGTAATGATTCAACTATTATAATAATACTGTTATGAGAAATTCGCCTTATTTTATTTTATTATGATGTTTTTTCATAAATATAAGATGGCTACAAATGTTTGATGAAATTTTGGATAACTTCAAAAATGTTTGTAGCTCCACTGTAATTATTCTTTTAAAGCATGTCAAGAAGAATTAAAAACATTAATGAATTCTGAAATTGATGCCTTGACAGCACATACTATTGATTTAGGAAAAATTGTGTAAATTTTATACAAAAAAAAAGAGTTAATATTTTCTAATTTTTTTAAAAGCAAAGTTTTTTGTACCTTCTAGCTCATCAATAAAAATGTTACCATTGCAGTTGATAAACACTGTGGGATCCATAAACACTCTTTTTTGGAAATACTACAGTTCGAAACTATTTTGAATGTTGTTTATTTGTTTATTTAAAATATACTTCTATTATATATATTTTAAAAGAATATCAATTGTACACTCCAAGTGTGTTATATGTACTGCATATAATTTGATATACATTTACATATTGCATATTATATGAGTTAGACGAATTGTTATAGTATAAATCTGACTCATTCTAATATAATCAATTATTTCTTACAGATCACATGTAACCCAAATTTTTGAATAAAAATACAGAGTGCAACTAAAATGTTTACCATCAATATAAAAGTTACATAAGACTAATTTCATTCTTCTTTTAGGCTTTTTTTTTTCTCATATTCACTATGCTAATCTCTATGATACCAAGTAGGGATTCTGCTAACAAAACTGTTGTCCCTACCTATTTGGTGCAAATTTCATCATTTACCAGCTTCCATTCTCCCGTAATTTCATACCAACTTTAAAGCTATTTAAATAGAATTTCATTTAGGGGTTTCCTTAAAACATCTTGCTCATTTTCACATAACACCCTGGAATTTGGGATTGATTGCAGTGGAAATCAAGGCCCCTGTTCATGCCAGCCTCTAAAAAGCTCAGATCTATTTCAGTAACAGCTAGTGATTTGACTGAAACATCTAGTAGTTTGGTGCTTCTGCAGTTCATTAAAACCTTGCTGGGCAGTGTACCATCAATTCTTAATTTAGGGCAATTGGGTGTGGCAACAAAGTCCGAATAGTCACAAAACGGTTCAAGCTAAAGCTTACATTAGGTTTACACATACATGGATTCATGTTAACATTCTGAAGCTCCAGCAGAAAAGGCATCAAGGACATGACTTAGCTTCACACAAGTAGGAAGCATGAGCACAAGTGTGTTGATAGCTTCATACATACCAAAAATGTGTCCAGCTCACATCCAATTCAATATTCAACACTAGTTTTGCTTGGACTGGCAGTGCTTAACAAACAGTCAGAGCCATATCTTCGTGACACACAACACTTGGCAGCCTGGCATGGGAACTATTCTCATATCAAACCTTAGGAGGAAAAATTAAAACTCATTCTTCAGTATTCAGATACTGGAATAGAAGTAGGGGATTCAGTATTCTACATATTGCAGTTCGGATTGCGACTAAGTTACGAAGGACCAGTTGATGAATAGGAAGGCAATACACTCCACCGCTTCGTTGTCGTCTAGGACTTTCCATGCAAGGGCTCGCTCGTATGTTGTGGTGCGACCTGTGCTGGACATACGTACTCCTGCTGGAAGGGAGCAGTAATCCTGTTCCACAAGCATGTACATTATCATTTACAGAAGCCTCTCTGTAAGATGGTATCCCATAGTTCTACTGGGTAGTGAAAGGGGGTTCTATGTAAGGAGCTTCAGGCTTCTTGTGTTCACATCTGGTCCATTCTGCTGCTTAGGCCACAACATGATAAAGTAGGGCTAAAAATAGTAGTTTATGAAGACTTTCTTCTTGGCCTGAATCCAGGTGTAGTCAGAGAGAAGCCATACCTGCTGCAAAACTTGAGTGAACGTGGTATAGGATAACTCGCATTCGTTCTCGTTGAGAGTCTTATCCCAATCCAGATCTTGCAAGGAGCTTGTCGTGGTTTCAAACATTTCTAGGCCTGAACGATTGGCAAATACAAATTCCGGCATTCCCTGAAAGAAAAGCACAAAACATCATCAAAAATTTACCATGGACCCAGGTAATCTTCTTCGAATTCTAACTAAGGATTTTCCGCCTACCTAGATGAGCCTAGTTTCAGAGCTAATGTTCAAGACTTCAACTACCTGGAAACATGACACAACTAAGTTAGCGGACGTCAGAATATCTTATCACCTTCCATGCACAGCATACGATAGCGTCTGTGTGATGCCAAAATGCCTTGAACAAAGCTTCATCTCCTCTATTTTCTGGCCTTGTGAGATCTAGAGCCAAGTGCAACCTGCACACGTCAATTGGTAGGAAGTAGAAGACATATTAGCAAAACCCTCTACTTTGCCAAGTATCACATATGATATCATGAGGCGAAGATCTGCGACTAGACAGCTTAGATTCAGGTATAGATACGATGATAAAGAAGAATGGTGTGTGCATGCATTACCTGTAGCTACTCAAGACGTGACGAACCAAGGAAATCGCGTCTGGATTACTAGGCGCTTGGCGGAGCGGAGCAGGTGCTCGGGACGGCGCTAAAGCCATCGCTACTCGTTGGACAGATGCTACTACTGTGCGCACATATTGACGAGCCATAACTGCACAAGTTTCACGGGTATGCACCTCATATGCAAACTGGAAGGCTATTGTAAGAACAGACCGCATCTGGCCGGAGGTTCCATTCGACTTTGTGTCCCCATTCAAGCGCAAATCGCTGCCTCCTTCAAGAGTAGAGGCGAGATCAAGAGTGCGGTCAAGATCAAACCCGCCCTGCAAAAACACGCAATCAGTTGAAGCCATGAGGTAACCCCTGTCTGCAATGCAGAGATAGTGTAGGAATTAAAAAATAGTATCGATAGAACTGTAGCATTCCAAAGTTTTCTCTACACCAAGGAAAGCGTACCACAACGCTTGCGTCGATTGGGCTAACACAAAAGCCCGATGGAAGAAGAGGGATATCTTCAGCCAAAGCAACGTCCACTGGAGCGAAGATTAATTGTGCAGAGGCTCCAACTGCATTCTCGTCGATTCCGCTACAAAGCTGATTATCGCACCAACCAGAGTATGTCAGCTGCTGTGTTAAATCAACAATTTATAACTTGCAGAATTATCTTTTGAAGCTCTGAGATGAATGAAAACAAACCTGGAGCAGGAACGAGTCTCGTGAAAGAACCATATGTTGCACTGAGCTGTGACCCTCCAGTTTTACAACCTCCAGTATCTGAACAACATCACAATGTTTCTAAGAAATAACTAAAATAACAAAGTCAGGTTTCTGATCAAATTAAAACCAGTAGCCAACATAGCTCAACCTACCTAGAACTAAGCCATCTTTAAACCTGCCAACTACACCTTGAACCCCTACCAGACAAGTTCCCAGGTAGAGTACCTCTCCATGTTCCCCGGAATGAGCCAAAGGCAAAGGTAGCTGAACATGGGACACCCCACCACCTCGAGCATAGCTATTGCCATTACTCCGAAAGGATGTTGCCACATTAGCATCAATGTCAAAGTCCGCCCATTCTGACCGATGCTCTCTTAAGAATCCGATTAACAGTGACGGTGAAACATTCTGCAAGACGCATTAAGCTAATCAGTGAATGCACAACTCTACCCCCGACAACAATGTCATTTCACAACGATGCAGGAACCACTCAACCAAGCAAGACTAAGCCAAGACACCTGAACTGGCAAAATATTTATTTATGTTAAAACTAAAGAAAACCTCTCGCTCTCTCGCTCTCTCGCTCTCTCGCTCTCTCTCTCGCACTCTCTCTCGCTCGGAAACAATAAATGCTTACAGAGCGCCATGGTATATAACAAGAAACTTGTATTTAGTAGCATATCCACTATCTTGAAAGTAGATGCAATTTGGCAACAAAGCATAATGCGAGAAGGGTGTACTTGTAATAGCATGGAGGCTTTTGCACAAAGTATACCCCCACCCAACGAGTAAAGCAGCTTGTCAGATGCAATCTGGCCCTCCATTGATTTAGGAGTAGCGTTGAGCATCACACTAACATCCTCCAGGCCATCGCTCACTGTCGAAACCCAGCCATCATCTCCAAATCCATTGACAGCATTTTTGAAACCTCTGCGATTAGAAATTAATTGCTTAATTAGCTAATTAAAATTTCGAGGTTGCGAATGGCCACTATTGATCATCACAACAGTCTCATCAGACTCGCAACTCCACAACAGAAATACTAACTTTCTACAGAAGAAAAGACTTACTTGGCGAGGCGCTGGCTCAATGTCCGAAGCACTACTGGATGTTGTCCGTTCCTGGGATTCCCTTCACCACTTTCTTCAGATGCTAGCCGCCTCAAATGCCGTAATGCCTTTACCACCATTGCAAGGAAATTGTGATTACCTGAAGATATAACGCTTCTAATAAAGAAAGAATTGCAAGAATTATACGCAATGAAAAGAAAGAAAAAACAAAAAACAAAAACAAAACAAAAAGTCCATAAGAAAAATCTCATACCGCAATGGTGGACCTCTGCGCGAGTACGGCTGGCGATTCATACAGAGGCCGTAGAACTTCTGGCACACTCCAACGCTGCAAAGGCCCAATTATATATCAAACAAATGTTTCAGAACCGTACGTTCTAAACCTATCAAGCACATACAGAGACGCCAATTGAATCGAAATTGCTTTCCTGGTCGAACAAGATCATATCTGTTCAACTTACCTCGTTATCATAATGATCTACAACGTGAATAATGCAACCCCCTCCATCAGAGGGTCGAATAAGATAACCGCTTGGGAACATTTCTCCTCTTACAAAGGACTGGACTGGCGGCATAGGGGGTCCATTCTGTCCACCAATTAAGGACCGCTCACATATCTGCACAAAAACATGAATCAGCAACACTTACAAGAGGGTACTACCACAACTTAGCATTCACAACTTTGAGAGAATGCGACTCTGAAAACCAAGTCTTCAATGACTGAAGCATGGGAGGCTCACCACCAAGTTTCCGTCCTCCAGAATCGTAGTGTATCTTAAAGTACAGTAGTCACGCGCAGAGGCCAAAGTTGTTGGGGCGTACATCTGAAATGGAATGAAGCGTGATCAGATGAAGTACGAGCAGGAGAGAAGGCACGATATGCTTGAAGTGATTACGACCAGAGAAAGTGGTACCTGGGTATACAACAATTCTATAGTGCCCCCATTTGCTGTGGGGAGAACCCCAAGAACCTCCATCCGTCGACAGTCTTGTTGCCAAGCTGGACGATCTTTGAGAACTTCAGTAACCTTACTAGCATCGAGGGCCACTAGGCCGCAAGCTCGAGCAGCTATTCCAACGCAACCGTGGGATATAGCAATGATGCCAATGGCATCCGGACCAGGCTGGAGAGCAACACCAGCTCGTTAGTTAGAGCTTAATAGCGCTGCATGTAATTGACGTTTTTGAGATCACATTGGGTAATACAACATCATTGGATAGGTGTGTAAGAGGTGATTCACTCCACAAGTAGTCACCATACTCAGTCCGCGAAGTGAAGACCATCTCGAAGAAATTTCATACCTTCATACCAGGTAACTGAATCCAATCTACTGCCGTCCCTGTGGCCTTAGCCAGGAAATCGGTCAGTGTCTCCTCCGCAATGGCTAATAATCTGCGACCGGATACATATAAAACTAAGTTAGCGTGTCACAATCTAAGCAACTGCACGTTTCTGTTCAGACTGAACGTTCAGAACTTTGCTGTGGGTGGAATCTGCTGCATTTTTCACTGAGACAAGATCTCTCTCAATACAGAATTATTAGAATGTGTGAGCCACTACAAATCCTGATCATATTCCTCATCGTATCATTAAAACGAAACAAAGAAAGACATCAGCACACAATGAGCTAAAACTATCAACTCACCCCGCTGGACTAGTGTCGCGAGGCGAGTGTTGCGGAGTAAGGCGATGGGGAAGACCCCCAGTAACAGCAGAATCACAGCTAGTATCTGTGGAGGCTACGCCAGCCTGCCCATGTATTCTTACACAGATACCACCTTGAGTAGAGCTCTCATCGCCACCATTGACTGCCCCTTCTTTTTTCAGAGCATTCTGCAAAACGCTTGCTTTAAAAACTGTTAACAATTGAGTAATCAATTAGCAAAACCTGTTCACCCTCTTCGTTTCTTGAAAGGAAAAGCGATTTCGGAACTCGCCTGAGAGGAGAGACGATGCCTTCCGTCAGTTAAGGGCAGGCCAGGTAGCTGCTGCCGAAGTGCATGGTTTTCAAGGGTAAGCTGCGACGTATGTTTTGCTAGGCGCTCGTTTTCCTCCATTAAAAGCTTGTTCAGGGCAGTAAGTTTCGCATTGACGCTAACCAACCTTGATGCTTCCTTGCGTTGCTTCTCCCGGCATCTGAAATTTAAAGCAACTTCGTTCGCATTCAAGGAATATCTACTAAAACCAGCGATAGAATAAAACCCGAGCACTGATGAACTGCAGTCTTTTTCCTTTTTCTTTTTTCTTTTTAAAAAAATTTAAAATAGAAAAAACTAAAAAACATCATCTAGACTAGTACTTCACACTATACGGTGCGTAAAAACAATCTCATCGGAGTATAGAAATGTAATTTAGCAAAAATGACCACTGCGTAAGGAACCACTAGGAACAAGGTACTTCACTCTCACTATTGCTACTCGGTGAGATACACTGCAGGACTACATATTGAACAGCGAGAGACCGCCCAGTAGCCACATCAAACCCCGGCATGAAAGTGGAAATTGGTACCGCCGATTCTGAAACCAAACTTTAATCTGCTTAGGTTCAATGTTCGCCAAGATAGGCGACTCTTTGATAAGCTGGTGACGACGAATGGAGCTGGGTTTGGGGCACTCGTGATACACCCGCTCCAGGGCTTCCACCTGTTCGTTGGTGTAGCGAACATATTTTCCCGAAGAGTCCATCGTTTGCTCGTTCCACGATTCTGATAACACACAACACAGACTGACTCAGTCCAAAGCCGTAAGGATGTTCCGCCTTCGTGTCAAGACTCACACTATGCCTGACAAACAATCGCTGGCGAAAATTGCTACACCCAGTCGCAGAAACACTACTTCCTCTTTAACCACCCTCAAAACTCGTCAAATTAATAAAACATGGTATCACCATGAGTAGATTGTTTGGAGACCCTGACCCACAAACTAAAACTTTACACAACAGAAAATCGCAAGTGGAAAAGCTCTAAGATCTCGTAGGTGGGCACAGAACATTCCTACGTCCACAGAATCCCAACTAATGCAAACAATGAGTGGCCACCATGCAACCGAAAATCCTTCAGAAAAGAAGAAAGAAACAATATTTAAACATTTTAAAAAGGTGGAAATTGTAACAGCAGCGTATTGGCTTTGACCCCCATATGATCATGTAGCAGGTAAATTTTGGATCCTACGAAATAGCGAGTACATGGCAGAGCAGCATTCTCGTTCGGAAGAAGACGCTCTAAAGGTAACGAGATTCTAATCCATGGTTTCCACCAGAGCAGCAAGCCTTCCTGCAGGAAATCGAGATCCTGATCACGTTGAAATTATTCACATAAACCACAGATTTCCTGGAGGCCTTGCAACTTAAACAGGAGGCAGTCGCGATCAGGTTACTTCTAGATGGCTTTGCGGCTATGATCGATCGACCTATCTATCCTGGAGCGTGCTTAAGGTCGCAATGGTACTGCAACAGGTTTGCAATCACCTGCAGCTGCATGATCCTATGAGGATTAAGTAGAAAACGTCATCAACGTCGCTTCGCTTCAGCAGTAGTTTGACTCATTTCCTTAGTGTCGCATTTCAATTAACAGATTAGCTCCCCGAGAAACCTTTATCCTTGAGGGGTGTCAAAGTTTACTTTCATCTACTGAAATTGTTGCTACAATAACATCGAACCTCAAGCTTCCAAACTTCTAACCTTTTAACCTTCCGCCCATGGTATGCTTCCCGTATCAGCAGCCTGTCCGTATCTCAGGCAACCTCTCCCGCTCTCAAATCCTCAAGGTAGACTCAAATCTTCCAATTCAAAAGACAATTCTGATAGAGAACCCTGCAAAAACTTGGGCTACCTTTAAACCTTCCGTAAATCAAGTGCACAAGCCCTTAAATAACCACAGCTGGCAACGTTCGCTCGCCTGCTCACATTAGGAGGCAAATTCTGATAGGTAAAGATTGTATGCAACTACGCAAAAGAAACCTCAAATCGTGAAGCCAACAAGAACCGCGTAAACGCCCCAATGTCTGTATCGCTCTCGCACTCACCCTCTTTCTCTCCCCACGTTAGAATTCAGAAGACTCTAACTCCAACCCCAAAACTAAGAATCCTACCCACTCAGGCCTTAAACTCCTCGTCGCTCTCAAACCTCCCGTTCTCCTGAAACCTCCCAGTCTCTCAACCCTCTACCAGAACTCGGATGTCCCGAACCATCACACACCTCAACTCCTACGATACACCTTCCAGCTAATGCCGACGAAGCCGAATGCACCCCAAGCTACAAAAGCACTGCGATTCCGCCATGAGCAGCTCCGACACTGGCCTCATCACAACACTCCCCATCACCGCCCCCAGCACACATTGAAAACCAGATACCCCCGCTACACTCAAACACCATATCTACCACCTCCCCAAGGGCAACCCCCTTCTCCACCACCACCAACTTGGATCTTAATGATGACCACCAACGTCCAGCTTCCACTCAGTATCTACCGCCACTCGCACACTCATCACCACCTCTCCCAGCTCCCCGCTCTCCAACCAAGGCCTACGCCGCAGCCCTTCTCCATCTCCTTATCACGCTACCATCAATCAACAACCTCTCAACACCATCCCCACCACAACCACCACCACCACCTCCGGGCCATGAACACACCCACACTCTACCCCTTCTTTCCCATTACACAAAAACCCCTCACTCACTACGCCCTCACGCGCATCGCGACGCGCTGCGTGGCAACGGACCAGAAGAAGGAAAACGGAGAAACAAGGCTAGAGTGCGAAACTACTGCACCACGGCCACCGCCACGAAGAGAGAGAGAGAGTGAAGAGAGCATGAAGAATGACGATAGTCAACCCCCGGCAACTGAAATGAGCGGAGCACACTCCATGACAACGGAGAGAGCATCATTGATGACGGGCGGAGATTTGCTTACGGCTGCGACGGGGCTTAGTGGCTCCATCCATCGCTGCGCCACTGTTGCGGAGGAGTTGCCACTCACTGCTGCCGTTGATCACGACCTCTCCGCTGCTGCTACTGCACACACTGTGTGTCATAAGCTGTCACTCCTGCTTCTCCTGCCTGCGTCCTCTGCTCGCAACCGCGCGGAATCCGCCGCAGAGGCGCGTGAACGTCCGTCTTGGACTCCACCCGTGGCGGCGACAACTGCAAGGGAGCCCCTCCCATCTTGTATTGCCTGCCTGGAGTGCCTATTGCTCTGCTGCCCCTTGAAGAAACAATTTTATGAATTACTGGTGCCCAGAACTAATTAATGTCAAACTCATAATCCTTTTTTTTCTACCTGATTGGGGTCTCATTGTGGGGGTTTGTATTAGGGTGTAATGGCTTGCATTTTAGGAGCAATTGTAGTGGACAAACACTAGAAAATGCTTATGAAAACCAAGAGTGTTTGCATTTATTTATTTATTTATGCATGGGTTGTAGATGGTATTGAGAAGTCTTGCAATTATGAACACTTTTTTTTTTGGTTAGCTAAATGTTGTGATTTTTCCTTGTTGGACGAATCATTCCAACACTCAAAGAGAAGTTGCATCAATAATTTCTGCCTGATGTTATTCACAAAAAATAAAATAAAAAGAGAGGTGGTCAGTTGAAAGTAAAAGATCTGAAGTTAAACATTTAATCATTTTCATGAAGTGGATGATGTGTTGTAACTTCGATTTTTTTGAAACTTGTATGAAGATAAATTTTTATCCCTGAAGTTGATTCTTGAATATTTCACATTGGATTGTTTTAAAAATTATATGACTATCGTATTATAATTCTTAATGAACACAAAATTCTTTTGAAATCTTCACAACACCTTTGAGACTATCGAGAAATTTAAAAACCACCACAAGTTTGAATTGATGAGTGCTCAAACTAATATTTGACACATACCAGGAGATTGGAAACTAAGAAAGCACTACACACAACACACGTTACAATCCTATTTATCGATGTTATATAAGATTTGATATAATGTTCAAAGTAAAAGGTTAAAGAGGTGAATATCTCAACCACTTTGAACATTATAATTTATGTAAATCTTTTTATTGAAGTTACTAATATTGGAACGGTAGAAAAGAAAAGAACTTGTTCGCAAACAACAAAGTAATAAGCTTGCAAATAACAGTATCATGGTTGTGTGGAAGAGCAACTTGGTTTGAACCCAATCAAACAAAGATAATTCTGAAACCAATATATGTTATACAATTGCATGAAACAAGTCGCAAGCCAACAAACAAATTGTGATGCACTTGACATGAGAATCCATAACCTATATCCAAGGAAAATTGGAATATAAGGTACTTCGGTATGATACATGGAACTGAATTTATAAGATTGTACATTATTCTACAAGCTTCATCATTTGGTGTTCTCTTTCTTCAACAACACCAAGACAAGATAGTGACACAGTAATCTACATTAATTCCAAATTTGCCACTAAAGGGAACTTCAAATCTAAAGTATATGCCACGACACAATCATAAACCATTAAAAACAAAAAATAGAGGGGGGGGGGAGCCCAAAAAAACCAGAAAAACCACACTGATTGGGAGAAGTTCGGGAGGTGGGTTTGTCCAGCTAGCAGTGACATGTTAGCCAGAGAGGTCAGTCAGGGACAGGGAGGTCGGTACAGGCTGGTAGGTAGATGGTTATCATGAGGAAGCTACACACTGCGGGGCCCTACCCTGATGGGGTGGCCAAGCAGTAGCCAGGAGGTAGGTACTTCCAAAACCTGTAGTCTAGCCCAGAAAGCAAGATAAGCTTTTGGTAAGAAATTGAAAGCAGGGCTACTCTTGCTAGCCTGGCAGGCAAGCAAGGCTCAAGGACAAGGCCTTACTGCCCTCTCTCCTCTCCTCCCTCCCCTTTCCCTTTCCCTTGCCTGTGTACAAAACTTGATGTGACAACAAGCAATAAAGGCCATCCTCCTTCCCCTCTACCCCACTCCATTCTACTAGCTTGCTTCCATCCATGTCCCAGAGGAGGAGGAGGAGGAGGAGGAGGGAGGGAGGGAGGGAGGGAGGGCTCTGCCACCTTTGCCTGCCCAGTCCAGGGTGTGAGATGGGTGGGTAAGCAAGCAACCAAGCCAGAGGTGGGGGACCCCCTTTCTCTCTTGATCTCTTTATCCCCCTTGCAGCCTTTTCCTCTCACATTTTGGGAAAATGGGTTCCAAATGGCATGAGTGTCTTTTGGGTTAAGTTACTTCAGCCCCCACTTGCAGCCATCAAAGTGGGCTCAAGCAAGATGGTGAAAAAAATTCTCCTTGGGTTGGCTGCTTTCCACCCACACTGATCAAAGATGCCCTGGCCAATTGAATCTTTTCCCAGAGGGTTGTGCATTTGTCTAGCTTTTGAAAGCACAAGTCCTTTGGAGTGGTGTATGAGTTGGTTCACTATCCCCTACAGTAATCTGTTCACACCTCACACATCTCAATTCCCAGCTAAAGAACTCCAGACACCACTGTTCTATTTGTACTAGAAATCTCTGGGTTTACTGTGTGGGATTGGCATCTTGTTACACAATATGAGCAGCATCTCCATGTGTATGACACATGAGAAGAAAACTGTGTAGTGGGGATCAAACAAAAGCTTGAAGAGGGAGCGAGAGCATTCTGACACATTCCAGCCCCTGGAACATGTGATGATTCAGAGTAGCAAAAGAATTTCATCGTTATGCATGGGATATATGAAGACACATTAAAAACAACAGACTCTTCAATGAGTGCAACTAAATACACACTGTGTACTCATTACCCCCCTCCCCACTAAAGTAAAAGTAGCCACAGTGTGAGGGATATTCCATCTCAGACAAGACTTCAATGCATGGCCTGTTTGGTTGGTGTGTGTTTACACCTCATACATTGCCAGACAATGTCATTCAAGTTTTCTCCAGGAAACAAGTGATGGATCTCACTTCCCCATGAAGTCTCCCATCTTAAGTTGTTTGTTGTTGAATCATGCAAATTTAACATGGTAGGGGAGGGGAGCAAAAAGTACCTAGAACTTACCACAGTTAAAGAACTAGTAACTACAACATTATTGTCAATGTGCAGGTACGTCCAGAATTGAATGGACGTACCATTTCTTATGGTTCTTGTTAGTGACAAGAGTGATCATGATTCCAAAATTACTATCATGCATAACTTACAACAATTTGTTTGAATTGATAATTTTGAGGCCAAGTAATCAAGAAAAGTGATTTCATTGTTGTTATTAATACTATTGTTTTTCGAAAAAAATCTTCAGAAACATAAGAAATAAAATAATAAAAAATAAAGACTAAATCCTATGATATGATTCTTTTGACCTCTTTTAATTTTCTTTCTTTATAACATGTTGTTACTATTAATAGTGTGATTATGTGTGTGTGGCAGTTGAACAGTGTGTTGTATAGTATTGCTCAACATTTATCTTCCACTAAAATGTAAATAGACATGAATTGCTAAAACTAAATAAACCAAAAAAATTCTGTCATAATAGAAAGTTAAAAAAAAAAAAAAACAAAAAAAAAAAAAAAAACAAACAAGAAAAAGATTAAAAACAAAAGAAAAATGAACAAAAGTATAGTAAAAATATTTGCATGAAAGACAGGAACCTAAGTGTGTTAAAATCTTGTGTAAGGTTATTGAACGACCCGTTTCCTTCAAAAATAACTAACTAACTAAATAAATAAATAAAATGCAATTTTCTTCATGTAAGATGGACCACCTAATAAATTCATATGAACTTTGGTTTTTGAAGATTTTGATGTTTTTTTTCTATTATATGCTTGACAAGGTTTAACAATGCATCTTTTTCTGATTTCCATTGTTGGGAGAAAAAAAAAAACAAATGCAAGAAATAAATTCAGATGTAATTAGACATTTCAAGTTTTTTGTAAAGATAATTTCTTAGAACACAAGGAAATTTTTGAAATTAATATTTAGCAAAAAATGGCTCTAAATTAGGATAGAAATTTATACACATCTACAAAAGATGGATCCATATGTTTTTTTGTCAAAAGCTCATTTGTTGATTTCTTAAGTTAGAGTAAATTCTTATGCTTTTGAAATTTATATGTTTGGTGCATGAAGAAAGATGGTAGTCGCGGCTACCACACATATCCAAATAGTGGCTAGAACAAGAGCACCCACTATGAGTGATGAACTAAAAAGCTTGCATAATTGTCATAATAATTGAGCAAATTCTAATAATCAAGGTTAATTATTGTTATTATTTTTCCTTGTAGATGTTGGTTTTGCAAGAAGGTATTATATATTAATTTTAACACATGATGGAAGAAATGTTCTTAGAGATATAAAATATACTTTGGCTTACAAAATACTACAGAAGTATGTTTTTTGGTTTTTTTGTTTTTTTTATTTTTTTTCTTCTAATGTTGACCTATTGGCTCTTGATTTAAAGTTAATAAGATTTTTCGATTTGATTGGAAGATGTTAAAAAAAAAAGTAATTTAAGAAGTTACTAAACCTTCATCAAATGAAAATTTAATCAAGTTATAAGCAAAGCCAATAATTCAAACCATTATAGCATTTAATAAAATGCTTTATAGCAGACAAAATTTAGTCCTTTATTTGATGCACCATCAGCTACAAGTTTAACATATATATCTAATATTATAGCTAGATTTACTTACAAAATTCAAAACTTACATCTATGAGTGGTACAATTGATTAATCACAATATTGTGCTTGTTATTAGCCATATTTCTAATAATTCTATTTGTACTATATTTTTATAGATTATGATAAACTAATATGATTAATCAATTATGGTTAAAAACTAACTTACCTAACAATTAGGTTTGAGTATTGCAAACTTTAAATCTTGTCTATTGTTCATAGTCACTTTAGTAGAAGGTCCAAAGAAGACCAT